TTACAAAGCTTATGATCCACCTCAAATTTTCACCCACCTTCAAAGCAACTCTTATGTAAAAATTGATCTTAAGACTTTGTTTGAGACGACTTTCTTTCTGCTTCTTAAAGCAGCTTTCTAGTATAAAAATTTTAATTTTTGTACTAGAAAGCTGCTTTATGAAGCGGTAAGAAAGCCATCCCAAACGAAGCCTAAATATTCCAATTATGATAGAAGCGCGTTGGATGAAAGTCCATTGGGAACCATGAGGGAGGGCGTCCCTTCAATTTATTGCTGTTCTTGCCTCTTTTGTTATATTTGTTTTACTCAACATTCTTTTGTTAGCAAAACAAATATCAATTAAGAGAGATTTTATTTTTAGATTATAATACTTTTCTGACTTTAAAAAGAAATATTAATTCATTTAAAATGAGTCTCAAAACAACTAATATCTACTTGAAATAACACATAATGAAGCACTTGAGAATCTATAGTTTTCATATCCATATATCGATCAATATTATGTTGATCACGTGTTTGCAATGACCTATCATGAATAGCAGTATATTGTCATTCGATCAATACATCACATTCAACTAACTATAACAAATTCTTTGATTATAATCACTAGCTTGAGACGAATGTATTTGTAGACCAGCAAATCCTTTTTGTGCCGAGTCCAAATAGACCGAATTAGCTTGGCTTGAATAAGGTCAACTTAGTTTGAACCAGGGCAACTTGGCGTGAAATTTTTTTTTTTTTTTAATATTTGAATGTACAAGCATAATCATTGCATCCTATAAATCCTACAATAATATAGTTGAATATATTAATACCTCAAAGCATATGGTTATCAAAATTAAAATAATCTCATCTCTCCATGGACTTGTAAGGTCAACAATAAAAAACTTTTTAATAAGCTAAATTAAGATTTATTTATAGTATTAGTTGAGACTAATTTAGTTATATCTAATTCTAAATATGATTTTGTTTTAAATTAATGGGGGAGATTTAATTGATTCTATTAAAAATAATATTTATTGAAGCTTGAATCACATGGGTCCTGCCTGCGCTTAATTGGGTTGGTCAAGTCGACCAACCATGATCAAGGCTGGCTGGCTGGCTGGCCCATAATTGATTACAATAGCCACAGATACCTTCTTTGACCAAGGACGGCCTTAAAAGCACAAGGATGCTGTTGTTCGTCCGTACAGTATAAGAAAATCTGAAATTGACTCTCGTTAGATCAAAATGTTTTCTCTCATGTTAAATTTTTGTTTGGATAACTTCCGTAATGTTTTATAAAATAATTTTCTTAAATTTTTTTTTGGAAATAAATTTATTTAACAGTTATTTTTAAAAGTAGTAAGAAAGCTATATATATACTAATAACAATATTTTTGATGTCTTAAAGAAATATTAATTTTATTTTAATGGGGGGAGGGGTTGATTATTATTTTTATTTTTTGGTTAATTAGGCCATTTTTTTTTCTTCAAAAAAAAAAAAACTAAAAATTGTTTTGATTATTCCCAAAATCATATTGTTTTAGGTGAAATATGCTGCCATGAAACTAAGTTATGGCAAGGCTATGTAATTCTTTTTGGTTTGTTGGTTGGAAGCTTTAGCAACCAACTAAGAAGTCTTAAGTGTAAACCTTGCATATATGATGTATGCATGCGTTTACCTTAATTAGCCTAATTAACCGTACCAAAAAAAATGTCTAGCAAGACTCGCTGATGATCAACTGGCACTATACTTATTTGTGGATTACTAACGGCATGAGCCGAAAATAATTAAGTTTTGTTTTTCGATTGGTAATTCGCTAGTTTACTGACTGTAGATCATAAAAAATTTTAATTGTGAGGGCCGTTAAAAACCATCGGTAATTTTCATCAACGCTAACCATTGGCGTATTGTTGGAACCTCATGTATTGTTCATCCGGTATAAAATTCACTGAAAATATGATAGAACTATTAACAAAAATAGTAATAAAATACATCACTCCTATGCAATTATTCTTCCAAAACAATAGAGTAGTAAATTTAACTCACAAATATGTACGTATAATGCATCACGATATAATATTTATAACTAATTATGTCGACAATGTAAACATTATATCCTACAAACTTGCTTTTAAAAATCGCTCGCCGGACTTATAAATATTTATAAATATGTCGTGCAAGTGAGTCGAACCTAATTTCTCATAAAATATACTGATTTTTATCCTTATGCTGAGGGACCTATAAAAACTTGTTGAATAATATAATATATTTCTACAGTGTGACATGCATATCTAATGTAGTGAGAGATTGTGATTTGTATGGCCAAATTACTTTCATGCCTCACCAAAATGATTAATGAATCATAATACATGATTATGAAATTCTTTCATTATGTCATCTCATGTAATTACCAAAAGAGCTCACACATACATAAAGTCTTTGTAGAGATGTGGAAAGATAGGTAAGTAAAATGACCTATATCATATGGTTCACCATTTTGCTTCTGTTATTTTTCACTTTTTTTACCAGTGTTCCTTCGACCATCTTATCCTTCACACCTTGCAGAACCAGCACTTGCAATGGCGTCTTGCCATGGAGTTTTGGTACTGCTTTATTGCTTAAAAAGGAGCTTTGGCTTTCAATATAATGGCATACGAATGCCTGTCATTTTCTTATTAGGATAGCCAGCCGATGTTATTTAGTTAGCTGGACCTCACATGAGCCGTCCACGTTCTTGCCAATAGTACGTTGATATTATATATATTTGTATATACCCCACAGCACTTTCTCCATAAAGATTTCTTCCAGCATGTTAGCAGTATTCATGCATGCATGATCTGTACAGGCCTCGATCCTCTATTAAATTAATTTCTATATCGAAGTCATCAACACATGCATGCATGTAATATGGTGCTTTGATGATAATTTACAAGTATTAGACTTTTGCAATTTATAAGCACTGGGCCCTATGATGCATGATCCGAGAGCTATTCTACTGAATGAGAGATTGATTGTGCTTTGAATTTATCAAAATTAGTCACCCAGCAGGAGAAAAGTTTTGTTTAAAATTTAAGTTTAGTTCATCAGATGAAGAATTACTGATTGTTTATCAGCAGAGAGTCAAATATGAGTTTTTTTTTTTTTTTTTGATGTAAGAACTACCAGGCTTGAACCATTTATGAAAATCAAATCACTGTTAAGGCTTTGTTTGGGGTGGTTTTTTTACTATTTCTTAAAGCAGCTTTTTACTAGTAGAAAAACTGTACCAAATGAAGACAACTTTCTTACTGCTTCTTAAAGCAGTTTTCTAGAATTAACGTTTTAACTTTTACATTGTAAAATTGCTTTAAGAAGTAGCAAGAAAGCCATCTGCCTCAAACGAAGCCTAAATCAGTACGCAGTTCGTTAGACTACAAAGTTGAATGATATGAGTACAATACTGTTATCAAGGTAGTTTAAATGATGATGGAGCAGCATTTCTTGGTTCTAGTTATGATAGAGATAGGTCATGTATTGATCTATGATTTCTCTAAGTACTGGTGTTGACATGATGGAAGCAACAAAAATAGAACAGAGAAAAAACAAACTTCTGTTCTCTAGATATCTCACGGGATGAACAAAATAAAGAGCAATACAAAGTCCTTTTGTCTTTCACGGGATCACACAAACGAAACAAAAACTGAGATAAAAACTACCTTTTTTTTACAGGACGTCACAAAGACCTAAGAGCAATAAAAACATCAGTTTTCTTGCATTGAAGTCATATGTGATTAAGATGTACTAGGAGCAACATATAATATGAATACTGGCATCTCCTAGCATTGATAGACTTTGTCATCGGTAGAATTGTGATGGTTGCCACTATTAGAAGGCGAAAGGGATGGCCTAACACTAATGTTTTCTACTACAGAGTTAGGCATCGTTTGGGATAGCTTTCTTATTACTTTTTAAATCAGTTTTTTAGAACAAAAATTTTTTAAACTAAAAACTTTTGTACTAGTGACACCGGAATTGAGATGATTAATCAGATTAAACTTCAGTCTAGCTTAATTTCCTAGGGTGGCTTACATGGCTACATAGGTTTAGTGCTTGCTTTTGATTGTGTGTAGCCAATTATATTGCTACATGTCTATAAATACCTAGCTATTGATTGTAATAGGTAGATTTGGAGATTAATAAAATTAGAGTTTTACTCTCTTGTGAATTTCTGTATCCTAAGATTGTTCTTAGGTGGTGGTTTTTGCTTCAAGGAGGAGTACTTGGAGTGGTGTCCGGCGACTGCCACCGGATCGTCGACGTGGATTCATCGAGCCCCCTCCGATCCGGTGTCAACTAGAAAACTGCTTTACAAAATAATAAGAAAACTGCCCCAAATGAAGCCTTAGTCAGCAGTGAGGTGGACTGAAATTATTGGTCTTTACTGCTATATAAACTAACGGAGATTATTTTTGGATAACAATTGTTAGCCGGTTTTGTTGGTAAAGATCATAGAAGTTGTTGTCAAGATCGTGACATCAAATTCCTCTTGCTTTAAATTTATACTTTGACACTCCATTTTTTTCCCCAAAAGGGATATAAACTGAAAATTTATTCAAGTTCCACAATCCGAAACTTTTTAAAGCTCTAAAGTCTAAAGCATACCACATAGAGAAGAAATTAACTTAATTTATTAGTAATTAAAATTGAAAACTTCCTTCTTTTAAGTCCTAGAGTACTGTTTCCTTGAAGTTTTAGTAGTGTGTATTTGCATTATAGATAAGTAAAAGATGGCCTGAATATAAAGCTGAAAATTTTGAAAACACTTGAGTCTGATTGGACAAATAGCAAAGTTTCTCTTCAATTTCCTAAGCATGCCTTGAAATAGAGCAGATATTTTCTTAATTTATAGAAATTAATCATTAGAGATAGAGTGAAAATTTCTTCAAACTATTTTTAAAGGAAAAAAAGAAATCTGTCATATCAAATCTTCTGAACATAGTTGATTTAAAGTCTGCAATCATCTTCTCTTCATCACCTCCAATAGAAGTAGTGTGCATTGGTCCACATAAATCTGAATGAATAAGCTCCAATGGCTTCAAGGCTCTCCATGATTTTCCAACTGAAAATGGTGCTCTGCTTTGCTTTCCTGCAACACATGCTTCACAGATCTTGTCTTGAACTTCAATATGTGGAAGCCCATCAACTATATTCTTCTGGCTCATATAAGAAAGTGTCTTGGAAATCAAGTGACCAAATCTGCAATGCCATAATCTTGAATGATTCTCAATGGAAGTTTTCAAACAACCATTCAAACTGCAAATCATCTTCATGGGATACATTTTATTTGGAGTCACCTTCACCTTGGCTACCAAAAATCCATGCTTGTCTTTAATGGTACAAGTGTTAAGAGAAAACATCAACACATAACCCTTTTGATTTAGTTGTCCAACACTAAGCAAATTATGCTTAAGATTTGGAACATAGAAGACATCTGATATCTTCTTTTCTCCCTTCCTTGTTTGCACCAAAATGTCACCTTTTCCTTCCACAAATAGTTTGTTGTCATCTCCCGTACGTACTTCACTTTGGATTGAGTTATCCAAAGTAACAAACAATCTTCTATTGCCAGTCATGTGATTACTACAACCACTATCAATAAACCATACATCTCCTGAATCCCCATATTCCTTACTATGTGTAAGAAACATTGTGTCTTCACTTTTCTCCACTTCCTTTTCTTGCACCAAATCTGCATTTGCCTCTTCACTCTCCTGCCTCTTCCAACAATAACGATAAGTGTGCCCATACCTTTTGCAAAAGTGACATTTGATATTGGCAAGGTTGCTTCTTCCTCTTCCTCTGAAACCATGTCCACGACCACGTGCACCTTCTCCATCACCATGAGTTCCACCTTGAACTTCACCTCCATCACTTTGTGTAGATTCTCCTCTACCAACACGGCCTCTTCCACGAGTACCATAAGAGCCTCTTCCTCTACCAAAAGAACCTCTTCCTCTGCCAAAACCTCTTCCACGGCCACCTTTGAAATTCCCACGCAATGCCACTTGAGTTTGGAATGCTTCCTCAAGTGGTGTCGAATCATATTGCTTCATTCTTAATTCATGGGATTGTAGAGATCCAAGCAAACCTTCAATAGACATTTGCTCTATGTTCTTCGCTTCTTCTATGGCTACCACCGTGGCTTCAAATTTTCTTGTCAAACTTCGCAAAATCTTCTCAATAACTCTTTTATCTTCTACAAGTTCTCCATTCAATTTCAATTGGTTAACAATGGTGATTACCCGATTGAAATATTCTTCCACACTTTCCGACTCCTTCATCTTCAACATATCAAATTGGCTTCGTAGGGTTTGTAAACGTACCATTTTTACTTTATCATCTCCTTTGTAAGAAGCATGCAGTGTATCCCAAGCCTCCTTCGCCGTAGAGATCCGCTCAAAAATAATTTCATCTACCGCTTGATAGATGAAGAAAAGAGCTTTCCGATCCTTCCGATTTTCTTTCAACTCTTGAAGAAGTCTTTGATTCAAATCTCTCTCAACTTCGGGCTCCTGAAAAACGCTCTCTACAATCTCCCACAACTCATGAGATTGATACAACACCCGCATTTGAATACTCCATTGATTGTAGTTCTTCCCCGTGAACTTGGGCAACTGAGGTTACAACTTATTACTGCTTGAACTCGCTGTCATTCTCCAACCGGGCTCTGATACTAATGATGGAAGCAACAAAAATAGAACAGAGAAAAAACAAACTTCTGTTCTCTAGATATCTCACGGGATATGAACAAAATAGAGAGCAATACAAAGTCCTTTTGTCTTTCACGGGATCACACAAACGAAACAAAAACTGAGATAAAAACTACCTTTTTTTTACAGGACGTCACAAAGACCTAAGAGCAATAAAAACATCAGTTTTCTACTTAATACATTTTTTAAAAAAAACAAACCGACACAAGCAGTTGTAAAAACTGTCTAAAACAAAATTAAGAAATAAAAATAAACAAAAGGTTGCGTCGTTTGGTTTGTGAAATTCCAACAGTGTTGACATGGATGGCTCCTCCTACAAAAACAGCAGGTATGAATAACAATCGCTGCAACTGTGATTGTGATTGTCTGTAGCTGTCGATGCATTGAAGTCATATGTGTTTAAGATGTACAAGGAGCAACATATAATATGAATAGTGGCATCTCCTAGCATTGATAGACTTTGTCATCGGTAGAATGGTGATGGTTGCCACTACTAGAAGGTGAAAGGGATGGCCTAACTAATGTTTTCTACTGCAGAGTTAGGCTTCGTTTGGGATGGCTTTCTTACTACTTTTTAAATCAGTTTTTTAGAACAAAAATTTTTTAAACTAAAAACTTTTGTACTAGTGACACCGGAGCTTAGCTGATTAATCAGATTAAACTTTAGTCTAGCTTAATTTCCTAGGGTGGCTTACATGGCTACATAGGTTTAGTGCTTGCTTTTGATTGTGTGTAGCCAATTATATTGCTACATGTCTATAAATACCTAGCTATTGATTGTAATAGGTAGATTTGGAGATTAATAAAATTAGAGTTTTACTCTCTTGTGAATTTTTGTATCCTAAGATTGTTCTTAGGTGGTGGTTTTTGCTTCAAGGAGGAGTACTTGGAGTGGTGTCCGGCGACTGCCACCGGATCGTCGACGTGGATTCGTCGAGCCCCCTCCGATCCGGTGTCAACTAGAAAACTGCCCCAAACAAAGCCTTAGTCAGTAGTGGGGTGGACTGAAATTATTGATCTTTATATTACTGCTATATAAACTAACGGAGATGATTTTTGGATAACAATTGTTAGCCGGTTTAGTTGGTAAAGATCTTAGAAGCTGTTATCAAGATCGTGACATCAAATTCCTCTTGCTTTAAATTTATACTTTGGCACTCAATTTTTTTTTCCCCAAGAAAGATATAAACTGAAAATTTATTCAAGTTCCACAATCCGAAACTTTTTTAAAGCTCTAAAGTCTAAAGCATACCACATAGAGAAGAAATTAACTTAATTTATTAGTAATTAAAATTGAAAACTTCCTTCTTTTAAGTCCTAGAGTACTGTTTCCTTGAAGTTTTAGTAGTGTGTATTTGCATTATAGATAAGTAAAAGATGGCCTGAATATAAAGCTGAAAATTTTGAAAACACTTGAGTCTGATTGGACAAATAGCAAAATTTCTCTTCAATTTCCTAAGCATGCCTTGAAATAGAGCAGATAATTTTTTAATTTATAGAAATCATTAGAGATAGAGTGAAAAATTCATCAAACTATTTTTAAAGAAAAAAAGGAAATTTTATTAAAACTAAAAAAGTTGCTTACAAAAAGGTTGTTGAAAATGATAAACTCGTAGACATTCGATTGAAAATCCAATTAAAAAAAATCATGAGAAAAATAATATTCATAAAAAGTATTTATTAGAAGATAAGGGAAACTCTTCATTACCATCTAGAATGGATGGTGGAGATTGATGCTAATTTTCGTTTATGAGATTTGATCAAGTAGTGATCCCTTTGGCCAACTTACTTTTTTATTGAGATTATGATTGAAGCAACAATACCAAAATATGCATGCATTTTTTACTTTCATTAGTCATTAAGAAAGTATTATAATAGCTATGTTATTAATTCATTTATTTTATGATCTTATTTAAAATTGAATTTACAATTCAAAGTAGAGAGAAAATTTAGGCTAGATGTTACGTTGAGCCCTAAAAATAAACATATGCCAAAATTAGAATTTGACATCTTATGTGATGTAGCACAACAATTGGATAAAAATATGAAATTAATGATCCAATTATAAGAGTTCAAATAAGAGCCCAAGAAGATGTCAAAGCAAGAGCTCAATCAAGGTCTATTACAGGAGCCGACTCATGAAAAAAAGAATTAATCTAGAGTTTTAGTATTTAAATTTTAAATTTAGCATCTAAAAGATTTGACTTTTCTAAGGGTACATATATGATTTAGTAATTTAATGGAGATACTATGAATTAATGGAAGTAGTTGACACCTAGCCTTCCTCCATTAATAGCCATGCACCTACTTCTTTTTTCCATAAAAAATTTCTCTTATTTTTTGATTTTGGCAGTCATTGTAACTCTATAAATAGTGATGTTATATAATTTGCATATTGCAAACCTTATTCAAGAAGTACAAGTACATGACACCAGTATGTTAAAAAATACAATGATTGGATGATTGGATGATGAAAGATGAATGTCAAGAGTAAAATACAATACCTACCATATCATTCATTATTAATTATTAACGATAGAAAAATAAGCCATGGATATGCATTCGACTAGGTGAGGGGCAATGATTAAAACAAGACTTGATTCAAGAAAGCAAGTTTATAAGCCAAAGTTTCAGTTCAATATGATTTGTAAACCCATTCCACATTGGTCTTTGATCGGATCAAATCAGTTCACAATCAATATAAATGATATATGTGATGACTTGTATTAAATGCATGCATACATGTTTATCATAAATATGTATACTTGCATATATAATAAATTAAATAAAAAAATTGTTTATTGGAAATTAAAAGAGAGAAGCTGGAAATGACAATGACTAGCAAAATTTATTCTTATGTGCGGTGATAATTTGTTTGTGAGAAGAAGAGCAGTTAGAGATGTTGTACAACACACACTAAAACTCAAACTCCTAAAAAAATAACCAAAGCATAAAACATAAAGAATACTCCAAAATCCTAATCTAAACCCAATTCCTGGCAAGCCCCAGGCTCTTGACAATTTTCAGCTCCTAGTAAAGAGTGTGATTGCAAGCTCTAGCCCATATGGCAGCAAGCTCCATCTACTATAACTACTGGCCATTAGCACCTACAAACAAGTAGACAAGTACGTAATAAATAAAATTAATACTATAAAAAGTAAAGCTATTGCTAAAGTATAAAATAATAATTGCTTGCTAGTAAGTCTCAAAATAACGACTGATGGCTAGTACTAAAATAAAGTTGGCAAAACAAGAAACTGACACTGGTGTCAAAATAGTGAAGTGTGTAAAGCTATATGCCCCTGCAAACCTAAACCCTATAGGCCACTTCTAATAGGAGCTGTAAATCCTATGGGTAACTATATGTATATATATATATAAAGTGAGAGAAAGCTAGAGAAAGAATAACAGAGAGCAAGAGAGAGTAAGGGAGAGAGCAAGAGAGAGAGAGAGACAATTTCTAATAGAAACCATAAGTCCAGCTTCTGAAGGAAATATTTAGGTAATAACATAACCCTAGACCCCTCTCTGAGCATCTTAGTTTATAGGGCTAAGTTGTAAGACCCACTATTTTGACCATCTCTAATAGAGTCCATAAGACCCATCATTAGAGTTATTTTCAAATGAAAGTAATAAGCCCTGACCCAAATTCAAACTATGGGTAGCTCCTAAACGGGGCCATAAGACTCGATTAAAATTTAAACTATATAAAATTTCTAAATGGAGTCATAAGTCCCTATCCAAACTAAATAACAAATAGATATCCACTTATGTTTACTCAGGATTCCTGAGAGGAGGCAAGCTATGGTTACTAATCAGATTCCTTGGACACTATGATCAATTTTCATTAATGTTGGTAGGCTGAACTCTACGATATTCCCGGTATGACTGAAACATGGGATCCTGATTGGGTCTACCTTCATCCCCCACAACCAGATTTTAGAACATGCATACACAGTTGCACACACATCTGCACTTCATACAAAAACTAAATATAATTTCATCCTTAATCAAGATTGCTCTTCTATGTGTTAGAAGGGATAATTAAATATGAGGGCTTACGGTCATAGGAAGTAGGACCTAGATCTAAATAACCCTAACACTACTCTTAAGAAAAATTGGTTAATTTAAAGTTTAATCTACCTTAGGAAAATAAGGACATTAAGCTTGCAAGAGCTAGGTTCGTGCCTATTTTCTAGAGCGAACACATTATTATTCAATAAAAAAGGCTTGACTTTATACTAGTATAAACTTTTATAATTATACGAGGATGTGCCTCTCAATCAAAAGGGTTCATTCTAATATATGTTTTCTTAGATTATTAATCCTTCATCTTAAATATTTGACGCTCAAAGGTGGCATTGATGAGTAGGTTGAGCATCAATAATGAGAGAAAAATTGTCCTTGGCATAAGATTTCTTGATAACAGCATAGGTGATACACATCTTCCAACTTCCAATAGTTTTCTTCAATATCAGGATATTAACGAGTCAGATGGAGTAGATCATTTCTTTAATAAAATTAACCAAAAACTTTTGAACCTTTGGTTCAATGGATTTATTGAGAATTAGAGCAAAATTATACTTCTTTTGGATGATTGGTTATCATTTGGGGTCGATATTAAGGGATTAGAAAATGATCTTAAGATTAATGATAGGCACATTAGTTTTGTTAATATAAATCATGTATTAATTTGAACATAATATATTTATATACTCTTGACATTCTTCTAAAGTGAATGTTGGAAGTTCCTTATAGAGCTGGGTGTACCAAGGTATTTAATAAGAGAGGCCCTTTGTTGTCAATTTTTTGTGCCACTGTAAGTTACAAATATATAATTCAATGGTAAGGGAGATAGT